TCGTTTCAACAAACAAAAGACAGGGCGGCATGTTCGGTGATGTGGAACAAACAATGAGGAGGCCCGGTGATTCGGCCGTCGGGTCAAGGATGGACCACGAGTCGCCTCCCAGTTGGCTAAAAGCCGATCCGATGAAAATAGCCATGGTGGGCTCCGTACGAGATTGTAGGTCCCCCAAGTGGCAAATGTGAATCGTGGAGTACATGTGATGTTGGATTCACCAGTCGTGTCGTGTCGACATGTCGCTGTGTTCGTTTCTTTCTTTCTTTCTTTTGCAGCGGGGAGAAGATGGCGTTCCTTATAGAGACGAAGTCTACCGGGAAAGACTGAACCTTTGGCAGTCGCACTTGGTGCTCTGCAAAGAGACGTGGAGTCTAGGGCGAGCCGAGAGCCAAAGGTGTTTTTTACACGGCCGGTATGGTAGGTGGCTTCTTGCAAGATGCAACATAGGTTCTGTGGTCTTGGCAGTGTTGCACGACCTGGCTAGTGTAAACATTCAGGAACACGAGCAAGTATGGACGGATTGACGCATGAATGGGGGGTTACTCGATTTGCTCACTCACATGAACGGTTAGGTTATGGCCCACGACGTTGGAAGTTGCCGCTGGGAGCTCACATGGTCCAACTTGAAAAGTCGATGACGATGGCGTGGAGTTGGAAACGAAGAAAGGAGGTAGTCAAGTGCTGCAGTACTCTGCAGGGACGCGATATTGGGGTTGCAGGTGGACGGACGAGTTCACGACTTGTAGTTCGCAATTGCTCGGGAGTGGCTTGGATGGCGGGACGGACCAAGTGGAGAATGCTGTCCATGTCGGAGACGGATGGTGAAGGATGGTGGTGGTTGGCGATGGTGGCGATGATTGTCACAGCTGCCGTGATGCGGCGTAGTGCCTAGTTCAAGCTAAACAGATGATGGTTCATGCCTAGTGGTCGCCCAACCGACCCGAGGGGCAGAGGGCTAGGGCCTGTGCTTTCAATGGTGAGGGGCTCCGAGGACATTCAGTGGGCATCGACCCTTGGGAAACTCCGCGCCACCAGACCGTTGACCCCTCCAGTGGAGTGGCGGGCCCAATGACAGCGGCAGGAGCCGCCATACCCGTCCAGAAGCCCGCCATTGTACATGTAACTGCGGCGAGTTCCGTCAATATTATAACACTTGACTGAAATGTCTGGTCTGGTCAAGTATTTGCAAGTCTGCAATGTTGAAACCGCTTCGAAGGAATGTTGCGAGTTGACGGCTTGGCCGCGCCAAATTCGATCGATTGATGCATCTACTCAAGGTGTGTCTGCTGCGATTACGACCACTGACCACTATTGCCATGATGATGCCTTAATTTTCTGGGCAAAGTCTGCCTTGTTCCCGCCCATTCCTCTCCTAGTAGCCATGTTGCGATGCATCACTCCCCCGTAAGCCTCTCTTTTTCTCTATTCGAGAGGAAGACGAGGAAAAAAATACCAGACACAGTTTCCCACCGCCTCCAAACACCTACCGATCCGATACTTACTAAGTACTACCTACTAAGTAGGTACCTTGGCAAGTACCTAGAACCTAAGGCTGTCGGGGACTTGGTTCATCAAGAGTACATGTATCCTGAGCGTAATTGCTTATTACTCGCGTACTTGGCTGCTCGAGGGCTACGCGGGGCTTCAAACATGACGATGCATACGTATTTGGTACTCATGTATTAACCATCAATGCTTCATCATCACAGGACGCCTTCATTTCATACTTTTCATCGGCCATCTAGTGATGGGACACTTTGCCAGACACTTCACCGCCCGTCCCCCAAACTCATGGACGGCCCCTCTATCTATGGCGTCGGCGAGCAAGTATCATATCTATCTTGTTGATGCTCTTATATGTGCCGCCCCAAACGGCCCCCTCCCATCCAAACATCCCAACATGTTGTATCGTATAGATTTTCCATCATCGTCTTGATGCCCGCGTCCATACTCGGCCCCGTGGTGCATGACTTGTCTCGTCAAAGTCTCCTGGACAAACCGATAAAAGTTGTACACACACACACATGGACACACACGATGCACCACGCCGGACGACACCCGCCTCAATGAGCTTGGATGCCTTCAATCCTGTGGCACAAAGGTCGTGTCCAACGGGCAAACGAGCTTCCCAACACTGAAAAATATCATCACCAACCAACTATTGCTGACTCTCCACGCTGCCAACAATATGAAGCCATGAGTCCCTCCGATGCTCTGCATTAGCTGCTCCTGACAAGACCGATATCCCCAGACGGCTTTCATCACTGCCACCCTTTGCAATCAGAATCCACAAACAAAAACAAAAAAAAAAAAGTCGGTATCGCGTCCATCTTCAATTCCCTCGGGTGCATACACCTGTGGCCGGCTTTTTTCTCCTTCCGGTCGCTAACAAGCTCGCCAGCAGCATCTGTCTGGTTTTTGTTCAATCCGCGAGCCAGGCTCTTTTCCCTCTGCGTCCGTCTCCGTTCTGTGTCTCTCTCCTTCTCCTGTCCCTCTCTTTCTCTCTCTTCCTGTCCATCCACTTTGTCTCTCTTTACCCGCGCCTTTTACTTCTCCCTCTGCTTCTCTGCCTGCTCTCCTCCCCTCCCCTCGCCCTACTTTGTCCATCGGCACACCTGCCTCCGCCTATGCTTTAAAGATGGACAGGCACCAGCAAGAGTTCCAAACGCACATCGTGGTTCATCGCGGAAGCATCCAAGACACGTCTCACCAGCGACGAATTGGCCTCTGGTTCGTTCCGTGCGAAAGAGGATCCCAGTATTATTTTCACGTGAAGCGCGCCATCCACAACTACCAGTTCGAGATCAAGAGAGACTGGGATCCGACCTGCACCGGAAGTGCCCTCCCGCTCATTTACATTGGCAGGACGGACAAATTATCCGCCAGCGAGTTGGTCAAGATCCTCACCGACGTGCCCATCGAAAACCACAACCTCGAATTCAATGGCCAGCAGTGGATTTGGGAAGCGCTTACGTTTCTGGTCTCCAAGGGCCACTTGACCAGAAGGCAGCTGGATGACGGCTTCGAACAGATGCTTGTGACGGTTCTGCAGGGCTCGGCTGATGAGCTCCCGGAGACACATCACGGCCATATCCGCAGCAGCAGCAGCAGCAATGACACCACAGATGTCGTCTAATCACCAAGGTTGTGATTTTTGCCGGAGCTTGTTAGGGCTACTAGATGATCTACAACTACGATTTAAGTTGCCACGAAATTACGAGACAAACGCATGGTTTCATGGTATTGAGAGTCTTTTTGCGGGGTTTGTCTTTCTTTCTAATCGTCTTATTCTTTTTCTTATTACATGCTTGATTCACATCCCCAGTTTGTTTTCCGCCTGCTCCAAAATATTCCCGGTCGCTGTCTGATTCCATGGTCCCTCGATCGACAAAGCCACTGGTAGGCAGAGCTCCGTTCCACGACAGCCGCATTTGGCAAGTAACCATGTGGGAGAGCACGACCTGAGCGATCACAACGCACAGGACAAAGGGTGTGTGGCAGAGTCCGCCAAAAGGTCATCAAGGTGGGTGGCATGTGTTGTATGTGTGGTATTTTAGGTGTTGAGTCTGGGCCGGCAACATGAGTGAGTTGGAGTCATCACAAGGCGGACATGGCGTTGGGGGCAAACTGATCTCATGTGTTGTTGAGTTTTTTGGGTGCCTGGAACTTATGGTACTCCGTACAGGCACTTGGTTTTTATTTTTATTTTTTTTCCCTTTCAATCCTGTTGGCCGTGGTCCCCTTTGCCTTTGCACATTTTTGCTTCCGTTTCGTTTCATGCTGTGAAAGGTGGAGATTGACCTGGTCCTTTGTTACAGTTATGCTGGGGTCCTTGTCTGAGAGAAATAATAACAGAGGTGCATGAAGGCCTGGACTCTTACTCTTATTAGGTGGCTCTCGAGATGCTGCGTCTGCCCACCAATCGACACATGGCCAACCCTTGAGGTTTGGCACAGCGGTAGGCGGCGGCATCTGCAATGTTTGATTGAAAAATATAGTGTTGCAGGGCATGTAGCATGAAACGAGCAATCGGCATCCGGCAGGCCAGGATGATGCAGAATATCCTTCAAGGAGTTCTACTCGTGGGTCTTTTTTGGGCCTTTTGCTCTCTGTTTTTCATCATCACACAAATACAGACACGGGGCGCTCTTTGACCTGAGCACTTTACGCACATCGAGACATGTTGGCCTATGCTTCTACGCACCAGTTTCGCGTGAAGACAACGGTCCATTAAGATGCTCAGGTGGCCCTTGTCCTTGGAAGTAGTACTACCGGGGCCAGGCCGAATAGACCAGGTTATTTCTGAATCATCCCACGGGAACGTCGCCCCCCATCGGGACCGAGTAGTACTCGTGAACCACTCCATGCTCCCTCAGTATGGAGGACTCTCTATGCCGCAGCATCATGCCTCTGAGAGCCGGAGTAGCCATGGCGGTCTCTGTCAATATTGCCCATCCATTTGCCAGAAAAAAAAAACTGCCCAACGCTTGCCAGAAGCGGGCAATGCATGGGATCAGTCACATCCCATGCTCCCGCGCCGGGCGATTGCCTGTTACACAAAAGCGAACCAATGTCACGCTCAAGTGCTCAAGTCTAAAGAGGGGAGAGGGAGGGATCAATGAGAGACAGAGAGACAGGGCTGCAACCAACATTGATAAGAAGTGGATGGAACCCCTCACGGAGGACTGCGCAAGTAAGGACCATTCCCGCCGCTCAGAAACAAAAATGAGATTGCCTCGGCGGGAAAATGGAGGTTCTGAGGTTCTCTAGCTGACAGTTTTCGAGCCTTAAAGCCCTTCCTTTTTCTTTGCGTTTCTTTCCTTCTTTCCTTTCTATTTCGCCTCTTTGAATGGAAAATTTCGAACCAGACGTGAATTCGACGACGCTGTCTCGTTGAAGGTGCCGGCGCCACAGCCGCAGCTGCAGCCGCAGTGTCAAAGTCACACAAACTCGCCCCGATTTACAAAGTACCTCCCTTCACCTTCCAGTCTTTCATAATGGTAACGCAAGAGAAATCTGTGGTAGGGATTGGTGCGGAGCCCAAACTGCTGGGCAGTTTCGACGTCGTGTGGAAATATCTGGGGCAGCTGGATGAAAGTGCACCAGCTCCTTCACCATCGACTGTCGACGACAATCATGGCACGGAATCAGATGGTACGAGGCCCTTTGTGCTTACAACTCGTGTTTCCTTCGGATATCCAAGTTTCCGAGTTGTCATATGCCGTCATTTATAACTAACCGTATTCGTTCAAAACAGGTTCCATCCTTCTCTACAGCACCTCGGACCGAAGTGTCACCCTCTTCCCAGACAAAACCATTGTCAAGTCGGGCAAAACCATTTCCCTCGAAGAAGCCGAAGCTATCCAAGTTGCCGCTCTTGCAGGGCTGCCCGTGCCCGAAATCTTCACCACGGACAGCCAGCCCGGCGGCATCAATGTTCTTCAGATGAGCCAAGTCGAGGGCCGGCCCTTGTCAGAAGTATGGCGGACCATGACGCTTCGTCAGAAGCGTAGCATTGCCCTCCAACTCCGCAGTATGCTCACCACCATGCGTGCATTACAGGCTCCCCCTAGATTGGTGGGTGCCTGTAGTGGTGGCCAATTCCGCGACTCGAGACTCTGCCACTCGCATTACTTTCCGTCGCTGGTCAACGAGGACGAGTTCAACAAGTACCTGATATCGAACTTGTCGCATGTCACGCCGAGACCGGTTAGGGATGCCTTCACCAGACAGCAGAGGAATGGCCATCGAATTGTCTTTACACACGGGGACTTGAGCCCCAGAAACATCATTGTGTCCAACGATAGGATTGTGGGGTTGGTTGATTGGGAAGAAGCAGGTTGGTTCCCAGAATACTGGGAGTACGTAAAATTCTTCTTGAGGACGGGTGCAGAAGATGGAGACTGGCCATCGTATGCGTACGAGATTTTCCCCGAGGTTTATCATGACGAATTGGTTTTGTACTTTTCCATTCTGCAATGGCAGTCGCCCTAGCCACTACTCGAGAGGTTGCAGAGACTGAAACAGCGAGATCAACAAAAAGGGTGCTAATTTGTGCTTATAAGGGAGGGCGGCACACTGAATTCTCAGTAACGGCATGGATTGGGCGTTTTCTCTTCTTATAACGGCGGGATTAACATTCATTTGAGGAGTAGGCAGTGACATACCCCTGGACAGCGATATGAGTTCTTTTTGGGATGGTTTCTTTTTTCAAAAGCAGATTGGCCGTTAATACATGCATTCCTTTTGTCGGTCGCTGTGATGATGGTTTCCTCTTTTTTGATGTACATGACCAAAAGCGCTTAGAGGAGCACGGTTACCTGTAAATGCATATATTCAGCACATGTATGCGTTAACAACAACTGGGGCATAACGATATTCTTGCTTCCGGCATTTGGATCAAGAGCGAGAGCGAGTTGTAGGGAAGATAATTTTGCGTCTGCAATTGCTACAGTGGGAGGCAAAAAGTATTCGATCAGATCAGGTACCTGGCATCACGCCCTACTACAAGGTACTACAGTATATTAGTGTGTACTTCTTGGTGGGCACATATGTTCTGCCACCAGACAGTCTAGACTGCATGTGTTCAATGCTCGGTATGTGCCGTTGACGCCAATATACAGCAGATTGCTGCAAGTCTGGCGAATCTGCACCACACCCAATCAGATATACATACAGAGTTTACCTACATACACTTGACAACACACGACGCAAGGGCACGCATGGTACTCTCTGTACTGCACTTGGCGACCTCGCCTCCGGATCGAAGAGCTCGACAGTCACTTCTCCGCAGCACATGTACCGTCGACTTATACGTCTAGACCGTAGTTACTTTACCTAAATGCATGCATCGGATCAAGCATTTCCGGTGAGCAGCAGCCCTGACAGATGGTCAGTGCACGCGAAGATGTCGATTGACGGTACGTACATGTATGCAGTTTTCAGACACCGGTGCAGGCGCATCCACGATCCATCCCAACTGACATACATATTGACATCTCATACCTTACCAGCAGCTGACCGTTTGAGAAAAATCACAGTTTCCTTGCATTCCGATTTGCCGTCCATGGTTCATTCGCGAGTCAACCAACAAGTATTGATGCGGGCAGACTCCCAAACCAGCCATGGTCCCGTCTACCCATTTGCAGAGGCGGCGTTGGTTGTTTCTACGGAGCAGCTGAGTTGAGCATCGTCAAGATCAGTCCGAAAGCCCTTTATCGTTTTCTTCAGCCCGACTAACAGATTGCGGTGAAGACGACACGGGACATTCATTGATCGAATTTTGATGGCGCCAATGCTATTATTGATGTGTCTGTTTCATGGTTGAGCAGCACTGCTTCAGCCAGGCGGGTTGCACAAAATCGCCGTCGTACAAAATAGGCGAACCCAACAAGGAGGCAACTACTACTCCGTGCTACGGAGCACATACTCCATACGGAGCAATAATCGATGCTTTCTTCTGCGGGCTTGCATCCTGCGCCTCGGCGGAGGCGTCTTGCTGTCTTGCAAAAGCTCCTTCTGCCCGTGCGTGTTGCTCGAGCTTGACTCGGCACCCTGTCTGCTGCCATGGTATTGATGCCCAACAGGCCCGTCCCCCCGATGCAGAAGCTTATTAACAGAAGGGGAGAAAAAAATCAGCTTACTGTCCGAATGGACTGCAGCATGGCCACTCGGGTGTTACCTCTGTTGCTGGCTTACTACTTCTTGGTTGAGACAAAGGCTCCTTTTTTTTGTCTGCTGCAATACATACCCCGGCCGCATTGCCTTGATTGTTTGCCCGCGGTATCGTGGCCGCCATGAACAAATACACATAGGACGACTCCAACTAATTGGCCAGTGCTTCATCTTGATGGAGAAATAACATCTCTACCGACAGTGTCGTCTGCTCACTCGGCATGCCTCGGTACACGAGTTAGATGTCCCATCCGTCCAACATGGGTTGCGAAACGGTCGCGTCTCTAATGCTACCAGCGAAATGTACAGATTGGGGAAAATAAATTGCCAAGACAGTCAATCAAGCATCATCCCGTTTCTCAGTACTCTCTTACTCTCTCTCTCTCCCCTTTCCTGTTGAATCGAAGTAACAGAGGCTATCATCTGCCAGCTTCCAGCACACGCCCCCCTTCGGATGGATTATGGCCTTACGGCCGTCAAGTACTCTCCATGTATCTTCGACTTGAACGCCAAGCAGTACCATTGCATCTGTTGTACGCCTCTAACTGCTGTTGGGAAACATGAGGGCCGTCAACATGGAAAAGAACCCCGCTTCGTCCAGGAGGCTGGCGCGTCCTAAAAAGTCGCACTGCGTCAGAAAACGCGATGGTGGATGATGGGTGGATGGGTTGGATGGGTGGATGACACTGGATAGAGTTTGTCGAGTTCTTCCATGCATGTTCGGTTGCATGAAACTGCTGCGCAAGCTTATCGGCAAGCTTCACTTCGAGTTTAGTACTACTACCACTAGTAGTAAGTACTACCTTGAGCCTACCAGGAGGACTTCTTTCTGGTGATCAAACTCACGGCTAGGCCCGCTAGTTTTGCTACTGTACGGTCCTCACGCCTTTCCCATTCCGAGAAAGGCGGCGATCATAGATAGCATTTGCACCATGACCAGGCAAAAGCTTGTTCGTTTAGCTCCTCTTTAGCTGGCGATCACCAACCGGCCCAGCACGGAGCCGTACCATGTGTCTTCACAGGCTCAGGGTGTCGGGTGCGGCTTCTGATGCCTCTCCTCTAAACTACATGTAAACATGCATGTGTACGTTACCAAGGTTGTCTTCCACCATCTATCTCAATTCAACCTGCAGGTCCACGACCCTAGGGTCATTATTCACGGACAAAGCCTTTTGCTCGCCCGGTTTGACCGTGGCTATGCCCGCCCCCTGGAACGGTGCCCCCAGCCAACAAGATCGTCGAAAGGCGACATCAATCTCCACGTGAAGTCTTGGCAACGGCCACTTGCAGTATTGTAGATGTTACGCGTACGGCAAAAGATATTTGCCTATTAACAAGTATACACGTATGCCAACATACTTTAAATAGTATATCTATTGATAGCCAGATACATGGTAAGTTGCAATGCCTCATGCCTCCCCAAGTTCCATTACCAAGTAGTCCAATTGGCAAGGCCCTATGATGCTGACGCAAAAGGAGGCGAAGTCGGTCTTGGCCCTATGATTGCAAATAGCAACCTCTTGGACATGAGCTTGGCAGATGCCTTGGATGACTACTTATCTCTACTTATCGAGGTTGTCGACCGCTGGCCAAGAGCTTCGAGAAGACAAATCGGATAAGCAAACTTCTTGGCAGACCTTCTGGAACCACGCTCCAATACGCATCCCGGTGACTTTTTTCCTTTTTTTGCCTGTCTCATGTATCCGGATATGTGCCATGGCGGCGCAGATGTCACTTGTCCTCATGGACGGTAAGTGATGCACTGTGTAAGCATGTGCAGAGGCATAATAAGGTGGGATCATCCAGCAGGGCGCTGACCAAGATCGTCCTCTCGAGCGCCTATTTCTTCTTCACGCCCGCGGTCTATGCAGGAACTGGAGCAGGTGTGTTCCGTCGAGACTCGACGCTAGCGCCTTCGCTGAGCCTCGTATATGCTCTCGAAGCAGTTAAGGCTTCAACGATGTATCTGTCGAATATTGTGACCAACAGGCCACTATTTTTTCTGATCGATACGCCTATAGCCACTCATTAGAGCTCACTAGAAAAGAAGCATCAACAATTCGATATGGGTCTGTGCCGGTATGCTTCCAAGGCTTGTGGGAAAAGATACTCGGTTTGGACCCTTGACTGCTTTAGGGGGTTAGAATATGGTACAAAGCTATCCAGGAAGTTTCCTAGCAGTCAAAGGGCCTTTCAGCCATATCTTGTCTCTGAAAGGCACGGTTCTTCCGTCACAATATTATGATTCATGGCGACGTTAATCCCCTAGGAACGAGGTAGTGGGAGTTGCTGCTTCAATAACAAGACTCTTCCACCGTGGGATTAAACGTTGACCCTCCATCTCATAAAAATAATTAAAAAGAGCGAATCTTCGGGTGTTTGTCTTAATAATTTCTTTCTTTAAAGGAGGATTTGCATGAGTAAGTGTACTGGATGAAGGCAGACTATATTGCAAAACTGTGGCCAAACAGCAGTCACGTATATATATCTGTAGACTAAAATGGTAAAAGGACACACGAAGAGCTCGATATTGGTGATATTCGGCCAAGGGCTGCTGTGGCTGGATCTTTTCACTCCATGATTCGATAGTCAAATCTAATATCCATCGTGACGGGAGGAGGCACAGGCTTGGAAACTACCATATCATTGATGTTTAGCAGCTAGTACTCCTCATCATAATCTTCCTCCTCAATGTTATCATCTCCCTCTTATTATCATCTTCTTCCACCTTGTTCACACTCTGATCTAAAACCGCCCAACTTGTCCTCATAATTTGACAGTTCTTGTGTAATACCGGCACAAAATTCTCTCCCCGGTGCTTTTCTAACACAGAATTGCCTTGATCCCCGGACTGTTTCTCATGCGGACCTGATTTCGAGGAGGAGAAACGTCCGCAAGGCCTCCTGGCCCAGTTTAGTAGGGGGCAAAAAGTATTTAACTAGATCAAAAACTTAGCTTTTGCGCTCTGTGCTTCGTACTATTCTCTCCAGCCATGAGTCCGACGAGATCTGAAGTGATTAGTGGAAGATACCTACCTGCTTTTAACACTGGTTACATTGACACCTATTTTCTCGACTCATCGCTCTCCAGGATGGATACTAATCCCCCCAACTAGAAGCAGAAACGCGGTCATCTTAAGCTATCGTCCCAGCAATGGACTTTGCTCTTTCCTTATACCCTAATAACAGCCGTAGTCGGCGTATCAAGAATCTCCATAACCGAAAACCATTCGTTTTCTCAGAGCTCCGGCCACGGCAACGATGCGTTTGGTGGACATGCCTAGCTGCGATTTTGCATGCAATCATCTTGCAAGCTGCAGT